TGATTCCAGAGAGTTTTGTTTCAGTGAGTTCGATTACATCTGGATTCACTTCTTGTGCTCTTTCCCTTAGTTCACTTGTCTTGCTTGTGATCCCATCTATGTTCGAGTACATCACTCTGAAACTGACTCTCTTCTGCTTCTCCTCTGGGGGGGACCTGTGGGATCTGGGGTGAGTGGGAGGATCTGGTATGGGGAGACTGGTTGAGGAGGGAGGGCTTGGGGGGGGGGGTGGCAGAGAGGGGGAGGGTAAGGTAGGTGGGTGAGAGGGGGAGGGTAGGGGGGTAGAGTGAGAAGGGGAGGGTTGGGGGGGGAGAGTGAATGGGGGAGGGTTGGGGGGGGAGAGGGGGAGGGTTGGGAGAGCATGGCGGGAGGAGAGGCTTTGGGGGATGGGGGAGATGTGCGTGTACTCACCTATTTGTGCTTGCAGGATCGAGCATTGGCTCTTGGATCCCGCCTTTCCAGCCATCGGTTCATTACAGCAATGACTCCTGTCCCATTTCCTATCATACCTAATTTAAAAATTATGAATAGAGTTTGCTTCCACAACCTGTTCCCCAAGTACATTCCGATTTTCCACTACTCTCACGCTAAAAGAAAACTTCCTAACATCTCTGTGACTCATCTGAGTTTTCAGTTTCCACCCATGTCCCCTCGTTCTGTTATTATTACGTGTGAACATTTCATCTATTTCCACTTTGTCAATTCCCCTGAGTATTTTATATGTTCTTATCATATCTCCTATCTCCCTTCTTTTCTCTGGTGTCGTAAGGTTCAGTTCCCTCAGACTTTCTTCATATCCCATCCCTCGTAACTCTGGGACAAGCCTCGTCGCAAACCTATGAACCTTCTCTAGTTTCCTTATGTGTTTCTTCAGGTGGGGGCTCCATGATGACGCGGCATACTCTAAGACTGGTCTCACGTAGGCAGTGTAAAGCGCCCTAAAAGCCCCCTCACTTAGGTTTCTGAATGAAGTTCTAATTTTCGCCAGTGTAGAGTACGCTGCTGTCGTTATCCTATTTATATGTGCGTCAGGAGTTAGATTAGGTGTTACATCCACTCCCAGGTCTCTTTCTCGAATCGTTACAGGTAGACAGTTCCCCATCATTGTGTACTGTCCTTTTGATCGTCTATCACCTGATCCCATTTCCACAACTTTACATTTACTGGTGTTGAACTCCAGTAGCCATTTCCCTGACCATCTCTTCAACCTGTTTAAGTCCTCTTGGAGAATCCTACAATTCTCATCTGTCACAACTTCCCCTCATCTGTCATTTCCCCTCTGTCACACAACAGAGGGGAAATGCTTGCTGCGTCCTCGGTTCCTGTCTGGAAGCGGAGGAGCTTCAAGAGATCCATAACCTTCAGGCATTTGTCTTGTATATTTTGTAACCTTTAAATACACAATAAAGCAAAAAAAAAAAAAAGGAAGGAGGTGGTAGGAGAAAAGCACACAGAAACTGTATTGGAGGGGACCTACATTCCCCACAAACCGTTATGTGTAGTTTCTTCCTAGGCTATGGGTCCCCCTTCTTCCAGCCAGAGGTGGTACTCCCTTCCCTTATATATATATATATATATATATATATATATATATATATATATATATATATATATATATATATATATATATATATATATATATATATATATATATATATATATATATATATATATATATATGTCGTACCTAGTAGCCAGAACGCACTTCTCAGCCTACTATGCAAGGCCCAATTTGCCTAATAAGCCAAGTTTTCAGGAATTAATTGTTTTTCGACTAGCTAACCTAACCTAACCTAACTTTTTCGGCCACCTAACCTAACCTAAACTATAAAGATAGGTTAGGTTAGGTTACGTAGGTTCGGTCATATATCGAAGTTAATTTTAACTCCAATAAAAAAAATTGACCTCATACATAATGAAATGGGTAGCTTTATCATTTCATATAAACAAAATTAGAGAAAATATATTAATTCATGAAAACTTGGCTTATTAGGCAAATCGGGCCTTGCATAGTAGGCTGAGAAGTGCGTTCTGGCTACTAGGTACGACATATATATATATATATATATATATATATATATATATATATATGTCGTACCTAATAGCCAGAACTCACTTCTTGGCCTACTATGCAGGACTCTCATCGCAGTAGGCTAAGTTTGCAGGGCTCTAGAATATTAAGCCTAGTAGACGATGGTGTCTATCTATTTAGCCTATTAAGCATGATATATATATATATATATATATATATATATATATATATATATATATATATATATATATATATATATATATATATATATATATATATATATATATATGTCGTACCTAGTAGCCAGAACGCAATTCTGAGCCTAATATGCAAGACCAAATTTGCCTAATAAGTATATATATATATATATATATATATATATATATGTCGTACCTAGTTGCCAGAACGCACTTCTCAGCCTACAATGCAAGGCCCGATTTGCCTAATAAGCCAAGTTTTCCTGAATTAATATATTTTCTCTAATTTTTTTCTTAAGAAATGATAAAGCTACCCATTTCATTATGTATGAGATCAATTTTTTTTATTGGAGTTAAAATTAACGTAGATATATGACCAACTCACTTCTTGGCCTACTATGCAGGACTCTCATCGCAGTAGGCTAAGTTTGCAGGGCTCTAGAATATTAAGCCTAGTAGACGATGGTGTCTATCTATTTAGCCTATTAAGCATGATATATATATATATATATATATATATATATATATATATATATATATATATATATATATATATATATATATATATATATATATATATATATATGTCGTACCTAGTTGCCAGAACGCACTTCTCAGCCTACAATGCAAGGCCCGATTTGCCTAATAAGCCAAGTTTTCCTGAATTAATATATTTTCTCTAATTTTTTTCTTAAGAAATGATAAAGCTACCCATTTCATTATGTATGAGATCAATTTTTTTTTATTGGAGTTAAAATTAACGTAGATATATGACCAAACCTAACCAACCCTACCTAACCTAACCTATCCTATCTTTATAGGTTAGGTTAGGTTAGGTAGCCAAAAAAGTTAGGTTAGGTTAGGTTAGGTAGGTTAGGTAGTCGAAAAAACATTAATTCATGAAAACTTGGCTTATTAGGCACATCGGGCCTTGCATAGTAGGCTGAGAAGTGCGTTCTGGCTACTAGGTACGACATATATATATATATATATATATATATATATATATATATATATATATATATGATATATATATATATATATATATATATATATATATATATATATATATATATATATATATATATGTCGTACCTAGTAGCCAGAACTCACTTCTCAGCCTACTATTCAAGGCCCGATTTGCCTAATAAGCCAAGTTTTCCTGAATTAATTTATTTACTAGCTAAATAACCTAACCTTTCTTTTTGGAAACGATAACCTAACCCTTTAAATATAGGTTATTAGGTTAGGTAATTGGTTTTCGGTCATATATGGAGTTAATTTTAACTCCAATAAAAAAAAATGACCTCATACATAATGAAAAGGGTACCTAACCTAACCTAACCTATATATATAGGTAAGGTTAGGTTAGGTAGCCAAAAAAAGCTAGGTTAGGTTAGGTTATTAGGTTAGGTAGACGAAAAAACATTAATTCATGAAAACTTGGCTTATTAGGCAAATCGGGCCTTGCATAGTAGGCTGAGAAGTGAGTTCTGGCTACTAGGTACGACATATATATATATATATATATATATATATATATATATATATATATATATATATATATATATATATATATATATATATATATATATATATATATATATATATATATATATATATATATATATCGTATATATATGTCGTGTAGCTAGAGCTCACTTCTCAGTCTACTATACAAGGCCCGATTTACATAATAAGTCACGTTTTCATGCCTAGTAGCCAGAACGCACTTCTCAGCCTACTAACGAAGGTTGCATTGTAGTGGGTACATATTGGGGCATTACCTCTGTTTCGGAAAAGTTGTTCAATATCAACCAATATTTTTTTATCTAGTTGTATATAAAAAGGAAGACAAAAAATACAAAACTTTTATTATTCAACTAATTTTATACTAACTATTTTATAATTGGTCCGAAATATAGTTCCTCAAGGTGACATCATCTTCAAGATAGTAATATCATGCTGAGGTATACCAGTAAGACTGCCCAAAGACTCGGCATTGTGGTTGATGGCCGTCACTGCCATGCTGAACTCAACCATTGAACGACTTACAGATCTGTCTTTGGGGACGCTATTCCAAACTCGGTTGTGTAGAGACTCATTTTTCTTTCCCTTCAGACACTTTTTCATGTTTTCCTCCGAGATAAGATCATCGTAGAACTTGTAGTAGATCTTTTGGATTTCAAATTCGTCCTCATTCGATTGTGGGATATTCATGGTCTTGTGTGATCGTGGGTTCTTTTTATTTGCAAGATCGTGTTGGTAAAAACACCAAGAATTTTTGCCTTCAGGACATAGATGGTGTAATGGATTTTCATCTGTGGACGTTTCATGGAACAGTCCGGATAGGCAGGCCTTCCTCATTTTTCTCCAGTCTGTGTTGATGTTGTCCCTGATGGCTCGTTTGAAGTGAACCATCAACTTCCCAAAGGTCTCGTAACTTAGCTTTCCATTACCTTCGGCCTCCCCTTTTGACTCCAAATGGATGATCTGTGTAACAAGTCTCTCGACTAAGTAATTTTTACACTCAGTCTTTTCCACCTTAACGTTTCCATACGGTCCAGCACCATAGTTCATTCCACAAACTTTATTGTAGGTAGAGGAGGAGTTACTGTTATCAACCAAAGTTGTATACCTGAGTTTGATGTTTTGTGATCGACCCCACATCAACAATGCAGCATCCTCTTCCATATTTTTGGGACTGCTGTAGTAGTTCTTATCACAATGTGGTAGATGTTTATCCATCTCATCATCAAACTGAGCCTCGTTTATTTCCCAATTCCGTTTCCTACGCTTGAGCATTTGGCACTGAATGCAGGTTTTTTACAGAACACATTGAAGTCCACAACCATGCCTGTTAACATTTCCACTAGGAAAGCAGTGCTAATTTGTGAATAAGGGCTCCTAGATCCGCTAAAGGACACATCAATGTTAAGGAAGCCATCAATGGGGTCTATATTTAACTGTTTTTTATATTGGTCAAATATTATACGGCGAGTGTTTTCTTGCACTTCTTGCCATCTCATATTAATCACATTTCTTATATGATTCTCGCACCTTCTATACACCAGTGGTGACACAAATTCCATTCCATTTATGGCACACATACTCTTGTAGAACATGTATCCTTGGCCATTTAGCATGTTGAAGTACACTAATGTCTTCAGAATCTCGTAATTTCCCATCAACGCTCGTGAAACTGTATGATTACATTTGCTACAGCTTTCCATCACTTGCACATCATGTTCATCAACCCTGACTATATGACGTAGTGTATTATGCGAGCAATAATGACATAATTTTACATAATTATCATCTAAGTACTTTTCAAGTTCCTTATCTGTCACCATTAGCACTGTCTCAAGGTGAAGGTCGGGGACGTCCGCTCTGTCGGGCCAGCTGTCCTGAACCGAGCTCGGATCGGCGTATCTCCGTCCCTTCCATGGAACGCGCCGTGATGTTACTTCTTCACTGTTTTCTTCTGTGTCCTGTCTAAATAATTTCAATCGTTTTGTGGCACTGCTCTCGGTATCTTTACGTCTTTTCAAAACACTGGAAGTACCTACAACATCATCATGTTCGTGATTTTCAGTCAATGTTCGTGTAACTGTAAGTTTACAATGACTACAGCTTTTTGTTACTTGTACATTATCATGTTGATCAGATATCTTGACTGTATGACATAGTTTATCATGTAAACAATCACACACATAATTAGAATCAAGGTACTTCTCAAGCTTCCTATCTGTTATTAACACTGTCAATTTTAGTTTATAATTAATTTCTTGCCACTCACTGTAATCTGGGTCTTGTCTCAGCTCTTGAGCTGAAGCAGATTTCTGTTGTTGATAAATATGGCGAGCATATGCCGCTTGCGCTTGTTTTAGTTTTTGAGTCTTCGACTTGCGTGGCATTGTGCAATCTTGTATTATTGTATGACAGCATTCATCTTCTGCAACAGGAAACAAATATTAAAATGAATAAAAATTAATGGTATGGTGAGTCTGGTCGTATAAAAATTTTTACATTTCACAGGATATAGTGAGCCCTGAGTGGGACCTACTTGACACAGGAGCAGAGGGAGGGGTGTGGGCAAGAGGCCGTATTGGATATATAATGAGGTGGGCAGCGGGCTGTGACTGAGATGAACAGGAGGTGGGCAGCGGGCTGTGACTGAGTTGAACAGGAGGTGGGCAGCGGGCTGTGACTGAGTTGAACAGGAGGTGGGCAGCGGGCTGTGACTGAGATGAACAGGAGGTGGGCAGCGGGCTGTGACTGAGTTGAACACGAGGTGGGCAGCGGGCTGTGACTGAGATGAACACGAGGTGGGTAGCGGGCTGTGACTGAGTTGAACACGAGGTAGGCAGCGGGCTGTGACTGAGTTGAACAGGATGTGAAGCAGGCTGTGACTGATGAACACGAGGTGCCCAGCGGGCTGTGACTGAGTTGAACACGAGGTGGGCAGCGGGCTGTGACTGAGTTGAACAGGATGTGACCCCCCTTTTGACCCACAATGCCCAGCGTTTATCAATGTTGAGTCATCTACAGAGGATGAGGGAGGTAGGGAAGGGGAGGGAGAGACTGGGAGGTAGGCAGGCAGGCAGAGACTGGGAGAGACAGGGAGGGGAGAGGGAGGGAGGCAGGCAGGCAGGCAGGCAAGCAGGCAGGCAGGCAGGGAGGGAAGAGACTGGGAGGCAGGCAGGGAGGCAGGTTGGGAGGGAGGGAGGGGAGGCAGGCAGGGAGGCGAGAGACTGGGAGGCAGGCAGGCAGGCAGGGGAGAGACTGGGAGGCAGGCAGGCAGGCAGGCAGGCAGGCAGGCAGGGAGGCAGGTAGGGAGGGAGGGAGGCAGGCAGGGAGGGAGGGAGGGAGGTGTATAATAAAAAATTCATATGACAATAAATCTTAACCAATAATTAATTCCCTATTTGTTGCTCGGGCAGATCATCTCGAGAAAGTATTAGAATTGAATATTTAAAGGATTTAAAAAAATATGAACAAAAAAGAGGAACTTTTAATTAATATAGATATCGAACATATAAATAATGCAAAATTTAACACAAAAAAAATTCCTGGATTATATTATTTACCCCTGAGACATAATCTAATAAGACAATTATTTATAGCTTATAAGTTATATAAGTTAATAAATGATAATATTGATGATTCCCACATTAAATTTAATTTTCCGCCCAATCTTAGCAGAAGACAGTTAATTTATTGGAAAATTTATGATATGTCAGGATTAACAGCTGATAATAAATTTGTCTGGTATGAATTTTTTTTTACACAATTTCACAATCAGGATATTGTAATTGACGACGATTTTGGGGGATATTCCCCATTTAAAATTGAAGAGGCCAAAATGATAATATATATTAACACTGGTAGATTTATGGCTTTTTCTTTTAGATGGGGTAAGAAATGTTAAACAAAGTTTAAGTGAGTATATTATTAGAAATTGTTTAACTTATGAACAAACATTTGAAGTAAACAAAAAATCAATTACAAATATTGATATGTACATTAAAATCAATGAAGTCATGAGATATGATGAGAATATAATTGAGCATCTTATTACTAATTATGAAAAAAATAATAATTGGTCAAAACTAAGAAATATATCACTATCTACAGTGTGGGACATGCATTGTGATTTATTAGAACAATTTACTAGTATTATTAATAAAATTAAAAATCCAATAGAAACAATACCAAGACATGCCACATTTTATTCTTATCTTTCCCCTGATTATGCAATAACTAAAATGGTGGCTTACCTCTCACAAAAAAGGGAAAATATTAATATTTGGAATAATCAGTACAAAAATTATTCTATTAATATTAATGGTATTATTAAAAAGAGGAGAAATCGGGGGGTGTTGGAAGATCAAGTTGTAGAAAGGGAGGTAGTCGAGGTGGAGGACGGTCAAGAGGAAGAAGAAGAAGACAAAGATTACATTTGTACAACATAGCAATGATGAAATAATGATGAGAGATATTTTTAATGGTTATGTCAGTTTGTTCAATCTTCTCCCGATTTTTATTCCGTTACAACTTTCCAATCATAACATCTTGATGACAAAACTAAACCTTTAATAATGAATAATTCAAATAGATAATCATTTTTGAGCCTAGAATTAGTAAAACAATCCTTTCTAAAGAATTAAATAGTGATACAAAAAATAAAATAAAAAGTTCTTTAAAACTTACCTTAAGTTTCAAAATAAACCAAATAAAGACTTAAATAATGATAAAATTAAATAAAAAAAAAGGTATTTAAAACATACCTTATGTTTCAAGTGAGCAACAAAACAAACTAAAAGTTGTAAAGAAGGATGAGCTTTAGTCAAAGACTAATCTGGTATTAGGGAGACAGGGGCAACCTGGCAAGGATAACCTTGGCAAGGACGTTATATAAAGAGACTCCGACAACTTGGCGGTCCACATCTAGAACTAACTAAGTACAGTAGTCACAACAAAAAAGTGCAGTATAGGATTTGCCCATTAGAGCCATAAGTCAATTATGAACCAACAACCCCATCTTCATCCTGCAGCCGATTGCTTGCTGGAATTTTCCAGAACTATATCTGGTTGTAGCAACATAGATCCTATTCGCCTACTAAATATTTGGAACAGCCTCAGGGTCGATAACAACCTTCCCCTAATAAATATAACACCGTACACTCTGAACATAATTGACCCTGACAAGTTTCCTATCAACAACCCAACTTTACATGCCCCTGAGACATCCAATCCCCCCTTCCCGCCATCTTGTTCACCAATCCAAAGTCCCCAAATTACTCCAGCTGAACTCTGCAACAGTCACCTCATCAACTAATGATCTTAACCCACCCTCTAAGAGAACATAGAAAATCGATTGGATCAGCAGAAACAACAAATTATTATCTACTTTACTTTCATCTGTCTTAAGATCCAACAGTGACGATGATTCATCTGAAGACTCATCTGAAAAATCGTCCAAAAGTGAAGTACATGTGCCTCAAGATTTACAACTGAAAGGGTATGTTTTTAAATACTTTTTTTGGTTTAATTTTATCATTATTTGGTTCTTTATTTGGTTCATTTTGAAACATAAGGTATATTTTAACAACTTTTTATTATTATTTTTTTTTATTATTACTTAATTTATTAGAAAGGATTGTTTTAATAATTCTAGGCTTCTGTTCTGTATCAGACGTTTTGTTAATTAATTTTAAAAATATTTAGATAGTCTGCTAAAGGGATAACGATGTAACTGATTTTGTTTTTCGTAGATGAAAGAAGTCTCTCAACGTCGCTGTCGTCGTTCACGTCGATCCAAGAATGATAAATATCTTCTACCCCAGAAAATAAAAAGAGAGGATGCCCAGAGGTACGGACAACTTTGTAACAAAAATTGTGGCCCACATATGAAACCCAATAGATGGATGGTTGGTTTTAATACTGAAGAAAAGAAAGGAAGGATCTTAAGGAGCAAACCATGTTCTTACAAATGTATGGCAGCAGCTGCTGCTGATAATGAAGACAGTGCTTCCTCTGGAGCTGCAGGTGAAGAGAATGGTGTTCCTATACAGGTGCTTCATCCTTCACAAGGAGAGTTAGAGGTGTACCTCAGCCTGTGATGGATAGTGCCTCCCAGACCTACCTCCCAGGCCACTTCTCCCAACCCACCATTGTCCAACCAGGATCTCCCTGACCTCCAACCCCTTAATTATCACATTCGATCCTTGAAATTCAATTTGAAGACAAGGATTCAGAATGTGATTTTGTGGATCTGAGAGGACATTTTGGACTAACTGAGCTCCAGGATATATTTAAAAGAATAATATATATTCTCCCTGAAGTCAAGCTAAAGTCTTTTCACAATTGAAAAGTAAAGGTGTAGATTCACAAATTTTGATTGATTGATTAATGAGGAATGGGACAAGAGTTGTTTGTGACCTAATTCATATGTTTTTGTGCTGATTGATTGATGAGGTATGGGACATGAGTTGTTTGTGATCTGGATCTAAGTGTGGAGTTGTTTGTGATCTCCAATATATAGGATCTAAGTTGTTGGATTTGTGCTGATTGATTGATGAGGTATGGGGCAAGAGTTGTTTGTCACCTAATTCATACATCTTATAGGATCTAAGTTGGATTTGTGCTGATTGATTAATGAGTTATGGGAGCAAGAGTTGTTTGTGACCTAATTCATATACATTTTATATAGAATCATATTAAGCCTTTAATTTAAATAAACTATAGTTGTCCCTCTCCACTTTTCAATTTAATCCGTTCCCAGAGACAGGTTGTTGTTAATTCTGTACAACTATTTTCCTACATGGAATCTTAACATTGACTTTTTCTTAGGACTCATTCATGACTTTCTTATGATAACATTCTTGGGACAATAATATAATAATAATAATAATAATAATTATTATTATTTTAGTTTAAAAAAAAGAAAACAATGAAATTCTACAAGTGTATTAAGCAGCTAGCTACTTGGTCGATACACAAAGTTTCTCACTGTAAATGAGTCACAGTTTTCGATCGAAATTGTGGTGTCACTGTATAACAACAGAACCTACCATACCTTACATACACTCTCCTATGGTTTCCTGTTTTTTTTTACTTTTAAACTGATACTGAAATAGAATTTAATAATTAATAAACTAACAAAAATTGTTATTAACTGAACTTTTATTTCAAACACCCTACAGACCCCGAGATAAGGAACATTGGCCAATTGGATAGCGATCACTATTCATACATTTTGTATGCTTAGTGACGGCGACGACCACTGCCATTTAATGAAACTAGTTCACATGTCCAAAACAGTGGTGACATATTTTTGGGGGGGATTGTATAAGAGACACAAAGCACTGTGTAATATTTTGTATGTGAAAATAAGAACAGATTCAATGAAAAAGTTTTTTACTGAATTGATTATATTCTAAAATATTTGTTTATTATTCTTATAATAAATAAATCTAAAGTTGGGAGCAAATGCTAAAAGTATAAATGAAAAAAACATTAATGAATCTTAATAATGTAATAATGCCCAACCAATTAATTCACATATTTCTTTACATTAGAAAGGGAACTTAAGTGACTGACTGGACTCTGGCCGATGATAGATTTAACCAGTTCAGTTATCATTTTCTGTACTTCAGAGTTACGTACTTCTTCCGTTAGTCGCAAGGCAACATTTTGTAAATGATCCA